AATGACTCTGATATTATTATTGCACTGACATTTCCTTTGTTTTTATAACTGATTTGATCTCTAGTTGTTCTTAATGCTTGCCCTGTCGGACCAGCAGGGTTTGATTTACGATTAATGATTAGGCTGGACCGATGTTGTTAAGGCTTTGCTTTTGATCATCCTATAGTAGATATCACCTACTAGGACTATGGATACCCTATAGAAATCATAATAATTCTTGATAATTGATTGCTTAATCTCACTTATAATTCTCTATGGACGTAGGAATTAGGATAGACGATTAAAGTTTTTCACACTAAGGACTTCGGAGTAAACATTCTAAAGAATCGATAATTAAGTAGTTACAATAAGTCGTTGCATGTTAATTCAGAGTTGTTACTGAGTCGGATCATACGCCTTCCCTAGCAGGTTACTCATATTTGTTTAAACCAATTAGTCAATTTTCCCTTTTCCTTGAAAATATTTTTATAATTAAACAAAAACCTTTTTAAAACCCTAGAGCTTTTATTTAACTAAAATAAAACCAGAACTCTATATCGTCAAGCAGTTCTTGAGATCAACATTCGGGGAAATCCCTATTATTACTATATTGGCAAAATAGTACACTTGATATTTTCCCGATCACTTAGTTAGGACATCCAAGTCTTGCAAAGTTACAAAAGTTGGTGCCAAAGCTTTCCAAGTTATCTACATTGTCTTGTGAGTCTTGCTAGTTAGGAAAACATGTTTGTAGTTCTTTTCGAGTCGTGTCAATTGTCGGTATAAGTCTCTGGTTTCTCTGGTTCATTCGGTTGTTTGGGGTCCTAGTCACATTGTTTCCACTTTAGGGTCTAAGTATTTTGTTACTTTCATCGATGATTATTCTCGGTGTACTTGGTTATTTTTAATGGAAAATCGATCTAAGTTATTTTCTATTTTTAAAACATTTTATAATGAAATCAAAAATCAGTTTGGTATTTCCATTAGTACTTTGCATAGTGACAATGCTCGAGAATGTTTATCTACTAAATTTCAAACTTTCATGGCTACTAACCGTATGCTTCATCAAACTTCTTGTGCTCACACACCATAACAAAACGGGGTCGCTGAACGTAAAAATAGACACTTAGTTGAAACCACTAGGAAAATCTTACTTCACAATAATGTTCTTTAACATTTTCGGGGCGATGGTTTCCTTACGACTTGTTATCTCATAAATAGGATTCCATCCTCTGTCCTCAACAATTAGATCCCTCACTCTATTCTATTTCTTCACCAGTCTCTTCACTCCTTACAACCTAGAGTCTTTGGGTCTACATGTTTTGTTCATAATGTTAGTACTGGGCTAGACAAACTCTCAGCTCGTTCTCATAAGTGTGTGTTCTTAGGCTACACAAGATCCCAAAAGGGATGTAAATGTTACTCCTTGTCTCTTCGTCGCTATTTCATCTTTGCTGATGTCACATTCGTTGAGTTAGTCCCTTACTTTGGGACGTCTACAGGGTCTGAATCCCCATCACCTATGTTTTCTTCATCTCCCACTACTGCCCTACCAAACGTAGTTATGTCTCCTTTGCCAGCCAATCCACCTTTTCATCTCCTTTGCATGTTTATCAGCATCGACCACGGCCACCACCACTACAATCAGCTAATACAGAAATCACCATACACTCCCCTCCAGATCCAACTCCTCCGGCCCCTCCGGCCCTGCCCCCTGAGACTGATCTCCCAATTTCATTTTGCAAAGGTATACGTTCCACTCGTAATTCATCTCCTCATTATGTTAATTTGTCTTATCATCGCTTGTCTTCTTTGCATTATGCTTGTATTTCCTCTTTGTCTTCTGCGTCTATTCCTAAGACTGTAGGTGATGCTTTATCTCACCCTGGCTGGAAACAAGCTATGCTTGATGAGATGTATGCTCTTCAGAACAGTGGCACGTGGGACCTTGTTCCTCTTCCTCTTGGGAAATCTGTTGTAGGTTGCAGGTGGGTTTTCACAGTTAAAGTTGGGCCTGATGGATAAGTTGATCGTCTCAAGTCACGTTTAGTGACCAAAGGTTATACACAGATGTTTGGACTAGATTATGGTGACATTTTCTCTCCCGTGACTAAAATGGCCTCGATTCGATTATTTCTCTCTATGGTAGCTATTCGTCACTGGCTCTTTTACCAGCTTGACATCAAGAACGCATTCCTCCATGGTGATATGTGTAAGGAAGTTTATATGGAGCAACCTCATGGTTTGTTGCTCAGGGGGAGTCTTTTGGACTAGTTTGTCGTCTTCGAAAGTCTTTGTATGGTCTTAAGCAATCTCATAGGGCTTGGTTTGAGAGATTTAGTATTTTTATTCAACAGTTTGGTATGACACAATGTGAAGCTGATCACTCAGTGTTTTATCGTCACTTAGTTGTTGAGTGTATTTACTTAATTGTGCATGTGGGCAACATTGTCATTACAGGTAATGATCATCATGGATTCACACAAGTAAAACAACACCTTTGTCACCATTTCCAAACAAAATACCTTTGCAAACTTCGTTATTTCTTGGGCATAGAGATTGTCCAATCCAAACAGGGGATTATAATTTCACAAAGGAAGTATGTTATGGATGTTTTGGAGGGGACAAGACTGTTAAATGCCAGCTCAGAGGGAGTCACTATCCGATCCTAAAAATATAGAAGATTAGTTGGAAAACTGAATTACCTTGCAATTACTTGCCCAGATATTTCATTTCATGTTAGTGTGGTAAGCCAATTTCTTAACTCTCCTTGTGAAGGGCATTGGGAAGCTATGATTCGCATCTTAAAATATATTAAAGGAGCTCCGGGAAAAGGATTACTTTATGAAGACATGAGACACACTCGAGTTGTAGGATACTCGGATGCAGATTAGGCAAGTTCTTCTTCTAATAGGAGATCCACCTCAGGTTATTGTGTTTTCTTGGGTGGTAACTTAATTTCCTGGAAGAGTAAGAAACAAAGTGTAGTGGCAAGGTCAAGTGAGAAAGCAAAATATCGAGTCATGGAAACAACAACCTGTGAGCTTATATGGCTCAAACAGTTACTTCACGACCTAAGATTTGGGGATGTTTCACAGATGACACTTGTTTGTGACAATCAGGCAACTCTGCATATTGCATCAAATCCAGTGTTCCATGAGAGAACCAAACACATTAAGATTGATTGTCATTTCATCAGAGAGAAGATTTTATCTGGAGATGTCAGCACTAGTTTTGTCAATTCAAATGATCAGTTAGCTGATGTTTTCACTAAGTCTTTGAGAGGTCCTCGAATAAGTTATATTTGTAACAAGCTTGGTGCATATTACATATATGCTCCAGCTTGAGGGGGAGTGTTAGATATCATAATATTATGTATTATGTAAATAAAATATTCGGTAAGTAATTAGGATATCGTGTAAATAGTAAATAGGAAATAGAATATTATATCATTACTATGAGATTTATTCCTCCTATTATATATAATGAATTTCGCCGTGTAATTCAAACACACTAATTCAATCGAATTTAAACTCTTGTTCTCTCATTATTCAACAATATTAATTAACATTATTAATTAATATTAGTAATATTAATATATATTAATTAATATTAATATATATTAGTTATAAAAAATAATATATAAAAAATTAATTTATGCATTGCCGTCTTTTAAATGGGCGGTAGAGTTTATTTTATAAAAATGTTACTCTTTCAATAGGCAGCAGGATCTATGCATTTTTTTTTTATTTAAAACTATGGCATAATGATATATAGTGTTATGATATGACATTATGGGATATAAATTCTATAACTCTGGCATAGTGGAAAAAATTTCCAGAAGTTAACAATAATTAATTTTCACCAATGCAATATCTTTATGTTTCCAATGCAATTTTTATCAACTTCACCTTTCACAAGTATTGTCTATACAACTTTTAAGATATTAAATTATATTATAATTAAAACTTTGTAAAATTGTTACTCCCTCCGTTTTTATTATAAGTTGCTTTTACTTTTCACACATATTAAAAAATATAATAATTATAATATAAAAAAGAGAAATTGTAAATGTTTTTATAAAATTATTCTTTATTAATGATATTAAAAAGATAAATTTACATAATTAAAAAATTAAAAATAGAAAATAATAAATATTTAAAGATATAAAAAGATAACATTAATGATTCATTGGTACTATAAAATCATTTATATTATAATACAAATTTATTTTTCAAAACAATTTATAATAAAAATCAAAAATAGTATATCAAATTATTCAATAATTATTTTTCTTAAGATATGCACAACAATCTTAAAACTATTATTTTAAAACTCAAGGAGTAATTAAGAAATGGCAATGTTAGAGGGACAACTAATATTACTAATAAGTACTCTAGTAATATTAGTTCAAAATTAATACACCATATATTCACCAGATATTCATTCAAAATTAATAATTGTCCTAAACCTTTTGTGTCAGCATACATAATGTTAATTGTCCTAAAACCTTTTGTGTCAGCATACATAATGTTCTAGACACTGACCGTATATGTGGTACTACTAGTACTAGGCCAACCCAACATAATAAATAATAGTCCTATGCAACATTACTAAATAATTGACCATAATAATGGAGAAATTCAATTCTCTCATTTTTTATTCAACTCATTATTCAGAGTGTAGATTTTACTTTTTGTTAGTTGAATTTTGAAAATATTTCAAAGAAACATGTATTTTTGGATTGTACCCAAAAAATAAAACTAGTTTCAACAAAGGTTAAGCAAATTTGAACACATTGAATTCCTCAATTTTGCACAACACCAAATTGCTTCAAACACAATATAATGCTTTGCTCTCCAACAAAAATTACATGTCAAAAACTATCAGTTCCACCCCCACTGCTGCTCAAGAGTAAATTAACTATGTACGCCGCCGCGGGGGAACTCAGAGATTTGTTCTGCAGAAAAATCTTTTATTCTTCATTATTTTGATCAGTTTGGTACACCAATATTTCCTATTTATGGCAACGTAACTCGCACTTCTTTCCTATCAACACCAAATGCCTGCAAATTCAGAATATGGATGCACCAAACCGTAAGAGTCGAGTAAAACCATTCATACTAATGAATAGAGATGGATGGAATCAATACCTCAACTCCGTATCCTTTTACATATACATTGGAAAATAGATCAGAAGGATCTGGCATTGGACTCTCCTGGAAATCAGAATAAGAAACAAAGAACTCTAAGATCGGAAAATATATGAAGTAAATAGGGATATGCAAATGTTTAAGCTGTTTAATACAGAAGTAGGAGCCAAGAGAATAGACACCGTATATGAGTTTTTTTTTTTACCTTTGCTTTAGCAATGGCGTCGTCAACTTCTTTTCGGACTTCTTTTTCAGTATCCTAAAAGAAGAAAAATCGAAATATTTAGCCACATCAAATTTAAGTGTTTATTTATACATTCATGCAAAAGCATATGTATTGAAGGCACTTGATTGAATCACCTTAAGCTCCTTTTCGGTAGCAATGTCATGAGACAATAACAGCTTTCTAACTCTCTCAATTGGATCACGCTCCTGCAATTAATTTACCCGAGATAGAAAAATAGAAGTTAAATCGAACTCCTCAAAATATTAAAAACTAATACGGTGTGTTTACATGATGAAAAACATGACAAACCTGTCTCACACCAGAAATTTCATCACGTGTTCGGTATGTGCTTCCAGGATCAGACATGGAGTGACCATGGTATCTGTAAGTGTCCATTTCAAGAATCTGGGCAGAATAAATATTAAGATACAGAAATCGATCAAAATCTGAGAGATTAAACTTCGAAGAATTAATCAACACTACAATGACAGCTACGTTAATGTAATGAGTTGGATCAACCGTACTCGAACGCTAGTAGATGAATGGTCAACTTATAACATTCAATTGCTAGTAATTAATTTAAAGTTTTCATATCAAGAAAAAAATACTCACAAGGGGACCATTCTTCAAAGCATGCTCTTTTGCAAATTTACAAGCTTGTTTCACAGCAAGAACATCCATGCCATCTACCTGAAAAAGTATTTCAATACATTAAGAAGATTTTTAACGACTTCAATTGCTATTTCTTATTAGTATGTTCATTTAACGATAAATCTCCTCACGAAAACAAAATTTCAAATCCACCCATGTTCCCTTCAAACTAAAAAATCACCCAATAAACTATTATCAAAGTAGAAGGTAAATCAATATTTCAAAGGATCTAATTATTCACTTTCACCAAGATGACACACACATACTGTTAGAAGACCAGTGGTTAGTTATAGTGGTTAAGAGTTGTTATAGAAAATAGTTGGTTAGTTGAGAACATTATAGTACTTGTATAAATAGGAGAATACAATATAGAGTGGATAACTATTGAATATTGATATGTTAACAATCTCGGATAGCGGCGCAGTCATCCCTAAAAATGGAATGGAGCAAGAGAGTGGAGAGCAAAGAAGACATTATTTTAGTGACGCAAACACTTATATAGTTAAAACTAAAATGAAGTACTCAAAATTCACGATGTATTCATAGGTAGAAATAAAGCCATAATATTCATGGTTAGAACTAAAGCCTTGCTATCGTTAAATATTTAAGGGTAATATCGTATACGGCTGACGCGAGCGCTCGTGTTTTGAATCCGATCTCATTATCATAGTCGATCCAGCCAAGTCACCCATATGTGTTGTTCTGGCGATGCCAAACACGGTTTTCTTAACTGTGTCATTCCATGTCGAGATAACGGTCAAAATAATCGAGTTTGATTCCATAGGAATATTGTAATTGTGAATAGGGTATTCTCTATGGTGAAGGGGGGGACCCTTGAGGAGAGATTCTCTCCTCTGTTATCCTAATTCTTAATAAAAAATTTATTTTCTTAGAATTCATTTTTTGGGTTCCTAACATTTTGTCTAACTACCGGATCATCGAGGAATGCTAGTGTTCTAGAGATTGAGCATCACAAAGGATGAATTTGCGAACTTTTACAGAAATAGACCCCGTTGTGTGGCTTGCAATGGCTGAAAAGATTTTTAAGGTGCAAGAAATTCACAAGTTCAATCAACTGCAAAGGGTTTTTATGAGCATGGAGAGAAAAGTCATGTTCATATAGCTATGATTATTGTGTTGTTGAAGGATTTTCAACATTGAAGAAAGAAGTGCAAAGGGAGAGAAAAAAATGCATAGAGGATGTGATGCAATTGGTGGGGACACCAGAAAAGAAAGAAAAAATGGCTAGGGATTAGATCCTTGGTGATATAAAAAAGAGTGACGAGAAGGTTGGTGATAATGGGTCATTTTCAAAGTCTTTGTCGGCGGTAGAGTCAGAAGGAGAAAATTTGCAATTCCTCTGTGGTACCCTAAGCATTCTAATTCATTGGCTGGCTGTTCTTTCAAATGAGGATGAGCAAGTAGATGTCGATGAAACACTTGCATACTAGGCAAAATTAGGGACTACGCGATACAACAACTGAAGCAAAAACACAACCAACTGAAACTGAATTTGATTGCAATAATCTAAAGGGGAGCATGCTACATGAGATGGGCAGTACATCAGTTTTAATGAATATATTGAAGAAAAAAAGGAAGCCAGTTCATGTTATAGAGTATTACACCTACAAGATGAATATAGTATATGTCAACCTTGAGAACAAGATTGTTTTTACACCCCTCCTCAAAAGTTTTTGAGGAGGGGTGTATTGTTAGGATGTAGAATAGTGGTTAGTTAGAGTAGTTAAGAGTTGTTATAAAAGACAGTTGATTAGTTTGTTGAAATTGTTATAGGACTATTTGTATAATAGGAGAACAGAATATAGAGTGAAATATTGTAATCGTGAAAGGGAAACCCTTGAGGGGAGATTCTTTTCTATGCTATCTAACAACAACAACAACAACAATAACTAAATCTTATCCCACTAAGTGGGGTCGGCTACATAGATCAACTTTCACCATAATGTTCTATCAAGGACCATGCTTCTGTCCAAATCATTAATCTCGAGATCTTTCTTAATAACTTCTCTGATAGTCTTTCTAGGTCTTCCCCTTCCTCTAACTGTTTGTCTTCTCTATCTGGCCTACCCTCCTTACTATAGAATCTATTAGTCATCTATCTACATACACAAATCACGTGAGTCTATTTTACACCATCTTCTCCACTATATGCGCTACCCCCGACACTCTCTCTATGCTATCTTAATTAATAAAATTGTTACTCCCTTGGAATCCAATTCTCGGGTTCCTAACACATGCACACTGTGCATCACTCTCACTTCAGACGGAAGGTGTGTCAGGTGTTCAACTCGTGTTAGTGTCTGACACACACATGCAGTTATATTTAATCTCTTCCATGGTTTTAAATCATCAAGAGTCTCTACGAATCAGTGTCAGTATCTGGTGTTTATACCATTGCTTCATATAGTTATGTTCAATCACTTCTATTGTTTTAAAGTATCAAGAGTATCTACGAGTCAGTGTAAGTATACATTGTCTATATCATTGCTTCATAGCACGCATAAACACCAAAACAAAAACACACAATCCAACACCAAAGCAGAAAACCATGAAACTCACCTTCAATCCAGGAACATAATCCCCTCTCTTGTAATAAGCAGGACTCTTAGCAGCTCTCCACTCAGCAGTTCCCATTCCATCTAAAAACACAAACCCAAAGCAAAACACAAATCAACCAAACAAATAAACATACCCAATTTCAAAACCACCAAACTTCACCAAACAAAACAAAACAAAAAACTCACAATGATTATTCTCACAAACCAAAATAGCAGGAAGATCCCAAAGAGCAGCAATATTAAGAGCCTCAAAAAGCTGTCCTTGATTAGCAGCACCATCTCCATACAAAGCAAAAGTAACACTCTCATCTTTCAAATACTTCTGACCAAAAGCCAAACCACACCCCAAAGGAACTTGAGCCCCAACAATCCCATGCCCCCCATAAAACCCAGAATCCTTCTTATAAAAATGCATGGAACCACCTTTCCCTTTCGAACACCCATCTCTTCTCCCCATAAGCTCCGCATAAATCTCAAGCAGAGTCCCACCTCGACCGAGAAAAGTACAGTGATCACGGTAGGCCGTAATAATACAATCCTTTCTCGTTGTCCCAGCTTCCATACCAACAGCAACGGCTTCCTGCCCGTCGTAGAGGTGGCAGAACCCGCGGATGAGTTTGGCTTTATAGAGTGAATCGGCGGCGATCTCCATTCGGCGCATTAAGGACATGGTGCGGAAGAATGAGAGAAGCTCGGAGGGTGATGTGGTGACGGAGCGGGAAGGTGGTTCGCAGTTGTGGGCGGTGAAGGGGAGGGAGGTTTCGATAGTGAGAGTGGCGGTTGTGTCGGAGGAGATCGGACGGTTGAGAGTGAAGGCGGCGGAGAAGGGTTTGAAGAGGTTGGATCGCACGGAAGAAGAAGATAAACGTGATAGAGCCATATTGATCTGTTACGACAAAAAAACGATGATGTTTTCTTTTCTGTATGAGTTAATGAAAATGGAGAAGAGGTAACAGAGAACCTTAACAAAGGTTTTTTGATTAAAAAAACGTAGGAGGAATGTTGGAGAATTTTGTTCTGTTCCCACGAGAGTTGAGTAAAATGAATTGATTCGGAAATTGAGAGATGATGAAATGAAGAGTATCTGAGTCTTTTGTTGTTGTTGGCATGGCATTGGCTGCACTCAATTTTTTTATCGAAGCATTGGTTGACAAAACAAAAGTTCTTAAAAAGATTAATATTCTCTATAATTATAGGCATTCTTTAAGAATAAATTATTCAAATTTTTTACTCAAATATTTCAATTTTAAAAAAAATATATTCTAAAATATCTCACTTTCTAAAAATATTTTTAAAATATTCGAGTTAGGGTTTGAGTTTACACAAGGGCGTCAATTCAAATGACGACTCATTGTTAAGGGCATAAGGGTGGTGTCAATTAGTCTGAAGACATATCATGCAGTCTTCCATCTAATTAGCAATTTAGTTATGTATTTTAAAAGGTGTCGCCAATTCATCTGAAAATCCCTTATATTTTGAATTTTTTTTACGAAAAATATATAATTATAAAAATGATTAATAAAGTAGTTAATATTATGAATATTATCAAAAATAATTATTTACTTTTTGAAATTTTTATATATCTATTTTTATATAAACTAAGTCAGAGGGGGAAAATAAATATTATCATTAATTAAAAAAAACTATTACATAAACTAATGTTGGCGACTAGGTTGGTCATACCGGTCACCGGTTCCACATCCCCTAGGCACCCTAACTCATTGTGCTTGTCCCCCTTGTTGTTGATTCACGGCAGGTGTTTGAGGAGTTGAAGTCTCAGGAACATTCACAGATGGTTCCCTACAGGTTTCTTGCATTTTCATTAGGTCATGTGTGTTGAAACTGAGCGTGCGACCCATGTCAGAGTAGTTCGGATGTGATGAAGGGGTCATTGGTATGCGGCCTGGACGATTGAAGGGGGACATTTATGTGAATGATTCGTTGGTGAAAGGTTGAAATGGTAGTGGTGTTTGAAAGTCATAAGGTTGTTGAGATGGATGAGTGTGTGGGTCAGGGTATGATGTCGGAGCGTTTTGCCTATGGAAAGATGTTTGGGCGTTATGGCTATGATGTACCCTCGTTATGGCTATATCTTAATGTTGTGTTGGGGCCATAGCCATATTGGGTTTCTAGGTAGTAGTCAGTGTGTTGGAGATGGTATGGGGGATGCTCTTGGTATTGTGGTTGGGTGTTTGACATGTTTGGATGGTGAATGGGTTGGTAACTCTGTTGGGTAGGGGTTGTGAGTAACATGGCATTTTCTGGCAGGTTAGACGTTGAAGCCTCTTATGTGTAGATGGTTTGGCGTAGGTCGTATAAATACCTGCCTTCGGAGACAAACCCATTTGCAATCGATCTGTACCAAGCCATCTAATTAATAGTTGGTATAGATGGGGTTGTCATCACCAGGTCACGTAAGACATGGGTGTTGATGTTCATCCATGTACGACGCTCAGATTTTGCAAAATCCTTCAAGTCGGGAAACTCCCATTGATCATTAACTCTTTTAGATGACATTTACTGATGTCAACAGGAGGATCTAGGATGTTTTGATGCATTCCAAATTATAGTTTGACACGATAACTGTTGTGCATCTCCATAATTGTGAATCTGATGGTCAGGACACATGCAGTCCAAACAGTAACATCTTCCCCTCTGACTTTATGTAGATGGTCCATGTTTAAATATAGACACCATATGAACTAAATAAGAGATAAATATTAGATCATAAAATAGTTGATATAAAATATAAATTGATTTGTTTAGAAGCCTTACATCTGCAAGTGTTAGGTGATCCAACAGATTGCAATATTGAATGATACAATGTCTAGGGCATCTATTGTAAGTCATACCCTTAGTCGGCCATCTAAACCAAAAACAGTTCAAATTCAATTAGTTAGAAACAATAATTATTAAGGTGAAATAAACAAAGATTAAGTCAGTTACTTACTTTTGTGCATACGGGAAGGAAAAGTCGTTGTGGTTGACGGGTGCTAGGGATGACAATCTAGACCAACCCCATGCTTGGAGCAAAAAGGCGCATCCAGAAAAAGTAGATGTATTTTTTTTGTGCACTTACACAAAGAGCTATATAAATAAGACAGAAAAGCGGAGCCCCAACTATACTCTCTTGTTTTAGTTAGGTCTCTCAATAAAGATAAATACATTATGTGCATAGAAGAACCAGTCCCCTCGGGAAATAAAAATGAACCAATTAAAAGCATAAGATAACACATGGTTATTATTATTTTCATGTCTTCTGTAGAATCTTCATCTAATATAAAACCAACGTACCATGATTTTAGGCACGAAAGTAAGATACCTTGGCCTCTTGAGTTCTCATATAGCAAGTTTGCACCCAAAAGTTCCTCACAAATTGAACCATTAAGGTTTGTTGTTCCATTGACCGCCTTACCATCAATATACAAACCGAGTAACATATGCACATCCTCTAAGGTCATGGTACATTCACCGGTTAGAAAAAAGAAGGTGTGCGTCTCTGGGCGTCATCTCTTTTGCAAAGCTAGTATAAACTTCGCATCAACCGAGTAAGACATGATTTTGCTTACATGTACGAAATCGGCGAGCTCAGTATATGATTGAATTAATTCGTCGGGTGCAACATGTTCATGGGCACGACACCAAAACTTAGAGATTTCTTACATAATTTTCAAATATAAAAAAATTAAAAGAGTCATTAAAAATTATAAGAGACAATAAAAATTAGCATATACAATAAAAATAAACACTTACATAAGTCGTGATATTTGCAACAGGGCCTCTATACATTTCACCCATTGTCAACAAAGCCATTATAAGTTATTAAATGTGAATCAGATAACTGATATACTGACACAAATAGACTTGATATTACCTCTCTGCAACAAGTACGAATCAGATGATGCATTTACCCATGCCTCTATCATTCTTATATAGGAAACTTAGAGTCACATGTAAGAAATTCATCTAAACCATGTGGCCAGGGCAATTGGTGACTGCCTTTACCATTAACAAAGGGGCGCTAGTCCAATTGGCGACCCCTGGTAGATTCAGTAGCTGTGGACGTAGGCTAAAAGTTGATGCATGCATGCATAACATGCTGTCACCCACATGGTGATAGAGTCTATTAAAGCCTGCACCATGTCGCCAATGCATGTGGTGCCTTCATTAATTACTTTTGATTGTTCCGCCAATGCATGTGGCACATTCATTCATTAATTTTGATTGTGTCTCCAATTAGTATGGCGTATTAATACATGTCCGAAGCACATAAGTATGTTCCCATGCATGCAAACATTGATAGAAATCAGAACAAGCAATTATACTAAGTCTCTAACTAGTTCTTTTAGTATGTCATCTGCACCAAGATATATTGTTGACACCCACTACAACGGAGATACATATGTCTCCGATGTATCTGAGTTTGGTTTTCAAAACACTGACATTGTCCGATTCACAATCAATAGAAACACAAGCTTCTTGCATTTCAAAGAAAGATTGGAATCGAAATTAGGGCTTGGTCCTATAGCACAAATAATATTTCAAAACCTAGTTTTTTTCGAAACCAACCACGTTAAATTTTATTCACTTAAAGTGCGATATGACAAAGATGTAGAAAATATGTCCCTAAGTCACGAACATTCTTGTTTCAACTATATTGAGTTGTATACGTTCCTCCAACAAAATATTTTATCTCAACAGTCTCAGATCATCGATCAATCAACAGTTGTAGACTTAGATGAAATTGAATCAGAATACTCAGATGAAACCGAACTGAAGGTCAACATCGTTGGTGAAGAAGAAGAAGGAAGTGAGACGCTGATAGATTAACTATTGAACAACAATGTTGAAGATTACGAACAAGTGCCAATTCCTCCAAGTCATGCATATTATCCGCCTCAACATATGACATAATTGGACTTACAAGACAATGAAAGATCCGCGGATATGTTTCACAACTCGTATAAATGGTCAGAGAATGAATTAAAAGCTGGAAACCAGTTTCGTACCAAGGAGGATTGTGTACGAGCCATTAAAAAATATCATATGGATAACTCTGTTGATTTCAACGTATGACGAACTGATTCGAGAAGGTATGTCATTATTTGTCGTAATCCATTTTGCAAGTTTCGGCTTGATGCGTCTTACAGCAAAAAAAGAGATTCTTGGAAGATAGCTTCCATAGAGCCACCTCACAGTTGCAATGCCACAAATATTGTTCAGGATCACCGAAAGCTAAGCGCAGAATTAATATGCCAAGACATTTTTCCGCTTGCTAACAAGGATCCTTCAGTCAAGGTGAGTATAATAATCTCTCATATCGTGACGCAGTATAATTATACTCCCTCGTACAAGAAGACGTGGATTTCAAGGACAAAGGCGATTGAACAAGTATTTGGCAACTGGGAGGATTCATACAAAGAATTACTGTGATTTTTGGTAGCGCTAAAGACATACACACCGGGAACTATTGCAATCATGCAGACAGTGCCTACATGTAGGCCAGATGGAACTATTGTTGATGGAAATGTCATCTTTCACCGTCTATTTTGGTCGTTTCAACCATGCATAAGAGGTTTTGCATTCTGCAACCCTGTTATTCAAATTGATGGAACATGGCTCTACGGAAAATACAAGGGCACCTTGCTTATGGCTGTTACACAAGACAGTAACAATAATGTCTTTCCCGTAGTCTTTGCTCTGGTTGAGGGTGAAACCACTTTTGCTTGGAGTTTCTTCCATAAGAGTCTCAGAACACATGTCGCTCCACAAGCTAATTTCTGTTTAATTTCAGACAGGCATGTTTCTATAGAGAGTGCCTACAATAACCATGATAACGGGTGACATAATCCTCCTTCTACCCATGTATATTGCATTAGA